TAAAAGAGTTTGCTGGCCAGAGGCAAAAACGTCACTAAAGGAGAATTAATATCTATTACAGTATCCAGCCCTAAATATGGAGAAGAGCTCAAGTGACGGTAGCTGGAGAAAGACCTGAGCAATGTTCAGATGCGAGCACACACGAAAACTGCTCCGGCTGCTCCAGCTGCTTCGCCCCTCCCCCGAGAGTCCCGTGATCGGCGCACGAGACGCTACCTAGACGAAGGATATCCAGGGGTTATCCTTACCACCTCAGGGCTAGGGGAACAGAATGCCCTTTAAATTTGTTCATTTTCAAAGACACACTTCCGCACCTGCTTGCTTTTACACACATATATACATTACAATTATGCAGCATTCATGGCGACTTTCGTTGGAAAATCAAAGGAAAATTTAGTGAAATTAACTATTTTACAAAAATAATTAAAATATAACCAGGATTCTTGGTTTTCCTAGCTGAAGGGAAGGGTAGGATGTGGCCCCAGCGCGGAAACCATGAACACCGCAGGATACAACGTTTATTCAAGCAACACACGTAATACGGTGGTAATCACGCCTTTACATAAAAGAATTACTAACAGACCGTTAATGAGAGCAATCCACAAAGCGATCAGTATAAAAACCGGGTGGTGGCAGCCAAGATGACCATGGAAAGCACCAGCGCAAAACGCAATGTGTAGCCGACGTGTTGCAGTGGTCAGCTGAAATAAACATTTTAAACAAGCTTAAAGGCACAACCCAGGCAGAAGACGTGTGAACGATTCTCTTCGGTCTGTAGGATAGACCCCTAGAGGACAATCACAGATGTGGCATTCCCGTGCACGGAAATCACCCGACAAGAGCGCTAGGGCCTTGCAAAGTAAGCTGCAGCAGCTGCAATTTTTTTATCAGGCTGTTGTCTGGCGCCTCTCATCTGTTGCGCTCTCTCGCCTCATACTCTCCTCTCCGCGCTTAGTCTCTCATTCCTTAGCACAGCCGATTAGAAGGTGAGTGAGCCCTTAACCTGAGCGTTTTCGACGGATTCTTTTCCTTTTTTCTTTACTGCCGGCCCATTTCGCACCAATACATTCGCATTCGTGTGCAAGAGCCACACCAATTCGATCCTGGGGCATGCCTTTAATGCTTGTGACCCTAATCTTTTTACTGCTAAGCTTTCCGCCCAAAAATTTTTCCATCTAAAAACTACTACTAACGTTGTTATTGGCGTTTTACTTAGACGTGCATCTTAACAAACTCCCCCGAGAACTGTTTAGTTTGGGTACGGCCTCTTCTACATTCTGCCTGATTCACGAGGATGACACATAGGCGATCAGCCTATCCCTCCGCTCGAACAATACCTCCATAGGTTCAATATTCACGTAATATCAAAGCTAAACTGCCACTGTAACCTACGCCGGTTAGCTCAACCCCAGAGACTCCCTCGAGAAGAAAACAAGCTCCAAGTTACGATCAGTTAGTATCATCAAGGAAAAGTGATAACAGGGGGACAGGAGGATGGCTCTCGTACACCAAGCTTCAGAGGGAGGCTTACTGTGAGGAGCAGCTGAGAGTGCAGCAGAGAAATTCTGTGAATCCGGCCCTTTAGCTCCAGATCAACCATGGATAGTGATCGCGCCGCACAGAAGAAAAGTTTTTTGTTTGCGTTTGCACATGGAATGGAGCCAAGCCATGTAAGTGTAATCAAGTATGCTGAGGTCCTTCCTTCGAAAGCTATGAATTTTTAAGGCAGTAGCCTGGAGGTGTACTGTAAAAGGAAGATTAATAGGAAATGAAAGTAGGACCGCTAAATGATGCCACTGCGTCGAATAAACCAAGGGAAACGGTCTAAAGCCCGTTAAGCGCGTTGGTTTGCTTTACCGCCGCTAGCCAACTAAAAGGACACTGCCATTATTATCGTGATAACCGTCAGGTTGCGCACGTTTCCAAAAATTTTGCGACTCCCTCCCCTTCAAGGGATCTCTACGTGATCCCCCCACGCATCACGCAACTAACCACCCAGTCAACCGTCACGTTGGACCGACATTGTACCGACGTTGACGACGTTTGACAGCTCACTCTTCTCCATTACTCTCCCCACCGCTAGACGAGGCCGTTGGACCTTTGTCCCAATGGCAGGTTGACCCTGCCACCAACATCCTTCTTAGAATGCTCCCCACTAGGATTCCCCTTCCCCTATCCGATCACCACCCTCACCATCATGGTTGTTTCTGTGCATAGTTCTTGAAATCTGAGACCAGTCGAATCAGCCATTTCTCGGGTTCTGGGCCGTTTCTCATGGTTCTTCCTTCTTTCGTGTACCAATCACCATCCCTAAGTTAATTTGAAATGGGTTGCCTTTCCAGCGTGAATTCGTCCTTTAACAATTTTCATTACTTTCGTAAAATTCCGCCCAATTCGTCAAAATCGTCCAAACACCCTCCCCTTTAGGACCTCCGTCAATCTCCGTTCACACTATGATAACGTTCCTCATCCTCAAGATGCGAGCCCCCTCCTTCAAGAATTCACAAATGCGACCCCCTCGCTCGAATAGTGCGAACGGACGATTGGCCCCGATCGTGAACGCTCTACTCCGCCTCTGAGCCGGGACCAAAGACCAGCAGCCATTGGATGTGGACAGGAGATCAGAGGGACGGGCAAATCCTCATTACATCACTACAAGGGGTGATGACGGTCGAGGAAATCCGCGCCCATGGCTCTGTACTGTGTGAGAATGGTGGAAGCGTGACCGAACAGGCGAAGATCATCGACGAGCCGTCGACAAGTCCTCGATCGATTTTCATCCTGCTACGGTGTACGCGAAACCTCCAAGTATCGCTCCTTAGGAAGCCGAGTTCCCCTCTATAGACATTTTCTCTTTTTCATCATGCAATTTATCGCACTATTTGCCTTTGTGTGAGGGACCAGCTAGCTAGCTACACCGCCGCATACATCAACGTCTGGTATATTTAGATGACGGCAAAAATGCCCTATATAGATGGGTTTCCTATTGCGATGGGTTTCCCTGGGCTAGGATTAATTGCTATCCGGTACGATAGATGAGGAAGCCCTTCACTACATATTGAGATTAGTTTGAATGAATGCTTTGCCGTTCCTCACGCAATCCTGTTTGGAGAAATGGCGTCGAAAAAGAGAGAATATCCACGTGAGAAAAAAGCAGAGCAGACAACAAACTTATTTGCTTCACGAAATTCAGGAAATGTTGTCTATAATTTTCTGAAAGCCGCTTCCGTCAGCCTTTTTAGTCAACACATTGGCATTATGTTAACGAGGTTGTTATGGTTACAACAGGATCAGCTGTGATTGGATTATGGTTTCCTTCCCGCAAACATAGGTTGCTTGAAATTTCTTGTGCTTTCCAAGCCACAGACACGTTGCATGGCAGGTATGGGGGGGGGAGGCTCGGTGGTGGTGATGATCCGTCTCAAAGGAGGATTCCTCAATAAGGTCGAGAGCAGGGTCGGTCCTATCGTTGCTACTTTTCAAAAAGTTTTTACGACCCCCCTCCCTCAAAAACATGCCGTCGAACGGGGGATAAAGTATATACGCGCGCTGAAACGGCAAATTTTCTCCCGCGCCGCTCCCCACTCATCACATGCAACTTCTTACAACCGAAGCAAGTACGACCCCCCTCTACAAACTCATCAAAATACGACCCCCCCGTTGCTACTTGTAGCAACATAGGGTTGACCCTGCTTCGAGGGTTTGATAAAGAGGGGCAACGCTCACTTTTGGAAGTCAGGCAGAACCCTAAAGGGTGCGCGGGAACGACAGCCCAATTTGCCGGCCAAGGATTATGACCAGTCGCGCGGCTAGCAATGACCGTCTCCGCTGGCGCTATCTGATGCGGGTGCTCCTTCACGAAAAAGTCTGACCGCCTCTTGGCATTTAGCAGAAAGAGCATTAGCGTTGACAGAAGGCAGCACACGAGTGAGAGTGACACTTCAACTCCGCAAACCAACTGGACAGGAATGGGTCCCCATTCACAGGCTCTTGAGTGCCGTTTCTCATGGTTTTTTCTTCATCATCTGCACCAGTTGGCTCACCTATCCATAAGTTTCCCTGATGATGTTTTTTTTAAAATCGTGAAAATTGGTCTCAAAGGCACAGGTTTACCATCGCGACGATGTTGGTTATTGTTCTCCCGAACGCAAGGTGTCAAGCGGCGCGCCTGGAGAAGAAAATTAGGAAATACGGTTTTTTTTTTTCTTCTGACATGTCGGGAAAGCGTTACGATGAACTGATTTCGAAACTCAAATTTTGAACATGTGCCGGTTTGCGGAGAGACGCAGACGAGAGAGCATTGGCGGACGTGCGAACAGTACGACAACCCTGCTTCGCTGACAATCGCATCGCGAACAACAGGTGTGGCTATAGTTATGGCAGTATGGTAATCGGTCCTAGTCTCGCGCTTTCGGGCCGAACAGTAGAACGGAACAGCATGGACTTTTCTGGACATTTTTGCTCGTATTCCCGAATCACGCCCGGTTGGTCGCATCCTTAGCCGCAGTAGAATTTTTAGTGTTGTTGCCTCAATTTTAGCAATCTCCTACTGTACAGGCGATTGGAGTCTTCTATAGTTTCGTCCAGTCGCTCCTTATCAGCGTTGCAAAATCTTTGCCTCATCTCGGTCCAAGCGTTTCGACTCAGTTGTGTGGACTTCAGTCTGCACCTAACTTTCTAGTTCTTACACGAGAAAGGTTTGGTTTGCAGATATTCCGTCGTCATTGTTTAGACTATTGTTCTGTTTTGTACCGCTTTTTTAATAATTTCACCCCAGTCCGCGCTCAGAAGTACATGCTCATTTCGGAATAGTCTAGCAAAAACACCTTACTGCCTATATATTGAAAATCTAATGGAAATCGGTAATTGTGACCTCCTCGGCATGGAGGTCAGGGCATTTTACTTGCTAGCCCGTGCAGGTTCGCCAAATAAGCTGCAGCAGCCTGCAGTGTTCCCCATACGCAGCAGGCTGTCGTCTGACACCCTCTCAGATGTTGCACTCTCTCGGTTGTTTCTGGCCTTAGCAGAGCCGCGTTACGAAGGTGAGCAAGCCCTAATTCTGAGCGTTTCCGACGAGTTCTTTTGCTTCTCGCTAACTGCGCCATTGTCGGCAGCCCTGCCAATTATACTTTCGTATTCGTCTGCAAGTACCACGCTTTTTTATCCTGGGCATGCCTTCAGGTACTAGGCTGTTGTTATTTTCTGTTCGTTCTTCCATGTAGCTGAACCACATGCAATAAATAAATTTCATAACTGTGAAAGGCCTTCCTAATTTAGGGAAAGGAAGAAGTGATCAGGCCGGTTCACCGGCTGACTTGTTCACTATACGCTCTTCTGAAAGACTGCTTTGTTCCAATTTCTATCCTCGGGAAGGTTTCAGAGGTCATAAAAGTTCACTTACATGAGCAGAAGCATTCCTTGGCATCGAGGATCACGTTAAGGGAACGCTTTACTCTCGATAAAGGACCTCCTTCGCCCAGTCCTGCGAGGAATGTGGAATTTGTGCGCATCGTGACACATGTGTCTTGTGTGTACGGTGAGATAGGTGCGCATCCTCGTTCGATGTACTTTCTCCCTGAAATCTCGGAATTTCACAGTCCAGAAATACTTTTTAGCGCAGGTGTACCGGATAAAGAATTTACTCAGCATGGCACAGAAGTATTAACAAGATTCTTCGGACAGCCGCTACTCATTAAGGGGTGTCCCCCAAGAGGCCCGTCGCGCGGCGAAGGAAGAGAGGCCGACGCGGCAAAGGACGAGTCCCAGCCAGGGTCTGTCCTATCGTTGTTACTTTTCGAAAAATTTTTACGACCCCCCTCCCCCAAGGTGGATTTGATACGACCCCCCTCCCCCAACGTGGATTTGATACGACCCCCTTTTCCCTACCTCCACCATCTCCATCTTCCATCAAAACCCCGCCCACTTTTTCCTCCAAAAATGCCGTCGAGCGGGGGGTATATAGTCACTCTGAAACGGTAAATATCTCCGAAAATTTCCTTCTATTTCCACCATTTCAACCCATTTTTTTATACCCTTTTCTAGGGGGGTATATACGCCCGCTGAAACGGCAAATTTTTATCCTGCGCGCCCTCCACTCGCCCAGCCTACTACCCACGAAATCTTAGTTTCACCTCAATCCCACACGTGATTTCGAGCGACTAAAGTGGGTACGACCCCCCCCTCCTACAAACTCAACCAGGTACGACCCCCCCCCGTTGTTACTCGTAACAACGTAGGGTTGACCCTGCTCATGCTATACTGTAGCGGTTAGGCGTCAGTTCTAAATAGACTACAATTAGAGTGTACCATACTAAATCTCAATACTGAACTGCCGCGCTGCGATTATCTCTTCGGCCGGACGCGACGCCTTGCCTTTCGTGTGGGACCCCCTCATACTTAGGCATTGATCCCGAACCTGCCGGCCATTTGCCTGATCTCACCAGGACGATCCACGTGGCAGGGATATTAGGATTATGCTAGGGTAACTCCGGCCAGGGGAGTGTAGCCAGTCTAGGGATGATGGGGGTGAGAGCAGTCACTTGACATGCATGAAATGCTGGAATGTTCGAGTTTACCGAGACCAGACCTCCGACTGCATCATGATGCCCCCCCCCAACTGGAATAGACCTGAGGACAGTTTGCAAAAATGTCTCGTTAGACCTTGGCCATAGTTTTGAGATCGCAAGACCGCATAGGCCGCTTCGCACCAGGGCAACATTTTTGGCATCATATTTTACAGTTACCCTCCCTTTCAAAAAAGAAGTGTCGGGTGCAGACCATACACCACAAGTGACGACGGCCTTCACAAAATGTTAATGTTTTCTGCCAATGAAATGATTAGCCTGTTGCAGTTGTATTCTATCGATTGTCACTAATTACAACTATCATTTACCAGAAATCAGCTATCACTATGAACAACTTCTAACCAGATTTACTTGGAGGCCGTCGTCAGTTGTGGTGTTTGGTCTGCACCCGACACTTCTCGCTTTTTGAAGGGGAGGTTACGTTACACTACGCATGAGCGAGAAGAAACGTGGCAGAATAGCTCCCGTCAGGCAATCTCAAGTTGCAAAATGAGTATTCAAAGAAAAATAATGAATTGGTGAATTGAAAAAGGTGCTCGAACGAAGCAACTAATCGATTACAGGAAAACACTATATGACAAACGCACGCGTACCACACGCGTTTGCGGCTTCCGGCTCGTGTTCTGCGACTGCTGCGATAGGGCGCACGCATAGTCGGTCGTCCGACAGCAACGATCGCAACTGTCTGACTGCATCTAATCGTCGAATACTCAGGCAAGTCCGACGATCGATACGCATCCAATGCTGTGCGACAGTTACGATCGTTGCTGTCGTCCGACCGACTATGCGTGCGCCCTCAACAACGCAGAACCGCAGAACTGCATGGTCGATATGAGTCTTTTGCAGAACTGCATGGTCGATATGAATCTTCTACACACTCTAAGTGCAAAGTAGTCGCAAAGTATGATCGCGGCCTTACCGTTGAGATAGCCCTCTATGCTTGTGCAGTAGCCACCTGTGCAGGACTCCTTGTTGTTATCCTCTCCAGTTCCGTCGTAGTACATGCTCTTCACGCAGGTTACTGCTCGAGCCTCTAAACATCAAGCGCAAATACTTAAGGATCACGAGGGTACGGTGTTGATGACGCCATTCAACCTCATTGGTGAGAGGGCATTAGGAGGCGGGCCCAGCCACACCCCCAAAGCGCGAAAGAACTCAACCCACCGATGACGTTCAGTGACTTCATCAAAACCGCACCTCCCTATAGATATCGGTAATACCTCCTTTGGAACATAATGATAATGCGCGCTTGAGTTTTTTGGCCGCGTGGGGCAGACGTGAGGCGCTATCGCAATATTCAGGGGCATCCTCTAGGACTAAACATAGGAGGTGGCAGGAGCTTCGAAGAAAACGGAAAAAGCACACAGCTTAGGGTATCCCTCTTTCATGTAAGGCTTAGCGCCGTTTTCAACGAAAGAGGACGAATTTCACGCGGTTTTGAATGCATTGCCACCACAGTGCCCCCGTATATTGCGATAGCGCCCAGACGTGATTTTGCAGACGCGGCCAACCCACCTCACATCCGTGGATTTTGAGTGGTAAATATGCAAGATTTGAATGGCACGACGGAATTTTAGCAATGTGCAATACAAGGAACTTGCGGAGACGGGGGGTGCAGTATAAGAATTCCATAAAATTATTTCTGAGCTGGTGTTCCAGAAAAATGTTCATTTTGCAATCCAGTAGGTTTGTATACACCTCGACTACTCTTTTTATAATATTTGCAAGCTTACTGAAGAAAAAAAACGAGGAATGGACCGAATTGAAATCTTCATAAATCCTGAAAACCAAAATAAACTGACCCATATTTGACCACACTGCGCACCACTTCGTCTACAGTTATGTTATTGTGTTATCTATGAAACAAATGCAAAAAAACTTGAGAAGAATTCGCGCAAGCGCGACAAGCAGGGATGGCGTTGGTGTGACGCGCAACCGCGTCACAATGTCCCGAGTGGGCTGCGACGTTGGACATTCCGACCAATTCGCGTCACGCTGTCGTCAATATGTTAATAACGCCTAACCTGAGCACGTTGCCAGGGCAGCTGGATCGGCCGTGGCGGCT